GATGAGTCGGGAATTTATATATAGAAATAGATAAAGTATTGAACACATCACCAGTTTTCTAAGTAAATGTATATTTCAAAAGGTGCTTTTGACATGGAATTCTCACTAGATTCTCACCAGATGTCAGTAATAATCCATCTAATCCACGCATTAGAAAGCAATCCTGCCACTCAGTGTAAATCATTATCAGCTGGTTCAGTCCAACTGATGGGCTATGAAAATTACCAATGTTTCACACACAAGAAGCATCTAATGATGGGTTAAACCAGTGAGTTCTCTCAAGACCTTGGCACCCTCATGGTAGCAAAACATACTGATGGTGTTGGTTATTGGTTAATTTCTCAGCTACTGAAGGTTCCAGTGAGCACTGTTGGGGCCATAATCCTGGAAGTGAAAAGAACACCAGTTCACCAAACACAGCCAAGGAAACTCTCAGTTGGTTTCAGAGAAGGAATTAAAGCTGGTGGAAGCTGGCCAGTCACCTGAATCCACAGAACAGTCAGGATTTAGAATAGAGTAGCCCTTTATTGTCATTTTATATGTACAACAAAATTATGGGTGGTCCATGCCCACTGTGCAGGAGTGGAAAAAAGTATAAATGGTTTGTGTGGAAGAATGGACCAAAATCCATTTGGGGGAATGCATGAGACAAGTTTCTCAATAGAGGATCTTGAAGACATCATCACCAACAAAGGCTTTTGAAAATTTCACGAAGTGAGTTCAGTACTTTTTTATTACACATAACTTAATTTATAGACATCTATGTTTTTATTTCTTTGCATTTCTTTGCACCTAGTGATAATTTCGTGTCAATAGCACCTTTAGAAATATATTTACTTTGAAAACTGGTGACGTGTCCAACACTTATTTTACCAACAGACACACACTTTGTAATTATATATATATAAAAATTATAGTTTGGTTCACTAAGTGGAAAATATTTATTTTCTCTTTCTCTTTAATAAAATAATTTAATAATCTGCTTTATTGCACAAAAAAATATTTAGGGTTAATTTTTTCATTCAAGAAATTGCGAAACAGAAATACTTACAGTACGTTGGAAGCCACTCCTCATTTCTTCATATTTTGCTTCCTATTCTTTATATTGCTGCGGTAACAACAATTTCCATTGTCAGATCAATACAGTTACCTACCCTACAAGGAGCAAAATATTCTTGTAGAATTTTTAAGTGGTCTTCAGCCTATCTGTAGATTTTGGCTGCTTTTTCCACTTTTCATATCGTATTGAAGCTACGGTAAGCTAAAATGATAATATACAGAAAATTTCTTCAGCTTTAGTCTGTCCCTTTGGTCAAAATTATCAACACAACACCACAAGAAGAATGTGTTTTTTGAGACTGGGACGTCATTATTGCAAATCACATTCTGAATTTAATACAAAACCCTCCATGTTATGG